CAAATGTAGTTTGAAATTGATAAAAAGTAAAAACTCATGTTTTAACCACTTGTTGTTATTTGGTGTTAATTCCTGCAGAGTTCGTTACACTCGTTTTACATGTGTGAGAAATATTGTTTGGATTTTCGTTATTGTTAATCTGGTTGAAAAATCTTTTTTACATTAATTGGGAGATCTAACATTTATTGAATATATTAGCTTTTTCATATAAAAGTAGAATTTAACAAACACATCCCAAAAAGAAAATAAATATAAACACATGGATTTGGTAAAGAAAATATAAATTCAAGTTTTTATACCACAGTAATTTTAACCGCATTAAAATTACATAATTATATAAGTTTTTAACACTATTAAACTTAACTATGAAATCTAAATTGTACTGTATAAATTATTTTAGTGATTACGAAATAAAAAACAATGAGATGAACATTAAACACGTGTCTCTCCTAAGTCCTAACTAAATTGGTATTAAGTATTAACTATTAAGTCACGAGCCTCCTTTATCCACGCGGTCTCCTTCACTATAAAAAGCAAAGAAACTCCAAAACACTTGTAACACCACATCAACCCTTGTAACACCACATCAACAATATCCACATTCTTCTTCCTTTGAGTACTTACATCGAATTCTCTCTCTCTTTCTCTCGTATAGGCAACAATGGCGCAGAGGAAGATGATTGTGTTTCCAACCAAGAATGAATTGTCTCAAGCAATGGCTGAGTACACTGCCAATCTCTCCGCCAAGTTCATCAAGGAGAAAGGTCTTTTCACCGTTGTTCTCTCCGGCGGTGACCTCATCGATTGGCTCTGGTTTCTAAAATCTCACTCTTCTCTCATTTAATGTTGTTATATAGTAAAAGAAAAAGTCTAATTACTAATGGTCTAATTAATCAAATGTTGCAGCAAGTTGGTGCAACCTCCTTACATTGATTCAATCGAATGGTCAAAATGGCACGTCTTTTGGGTCGACGAGAGGGTTTGTGCATGGGAAGATCCAGACAGTAACTACAAACTCGCCATGGAGGGTTTTCTCTCTAAGGTTTCATAACATTATATGTTCGAAGAAAATTTATCAAAATGTTAATTTTCGTATTCATTGCATGTCCTTTGTGTGTTTATTTTTTAAATGGAAATCTGTTTTCTAAAGGTTCCGATTCCGGATAAGAACATCTACGCGATCGATAAGCACTGGGCGGCTGATGGTAACGCTGAGCACTGCGCGGCACTCTACGAGGAATGTCTTAAAGATCTGGTGAAGGAAAAGATAATCCCAATATCGAAAAAAACTGGATATCCTGAGTTCGATCTACAGCTTCTAGGGATGGGTCCTGATGGCCACATGGCGTCTCTCTTCCCAAACCATCCACAGATCAATGAGAAACAGAAATGGGTCACTCACATCACCGACTCTCCAAAACCACCACCAAAGAGAATCACATTCACTTTACCGGTCATCAACTCTTCTTTGTACAATCTTATGGCCATTTGTGACAAAGCACCGGCAAAATCCGTGGCTGAGATCATGAAGCGCAACAACCTCTCGTTACCTTCTGCACATCTTAGTGCCCAAGTCGAAAATGTTTGGTACCTTGACCAAGCAGCTGCTTCCGAGCTCTAGAGAGCCTAAACACATTAATATTGGTGTTTTGGTTTTAGTCTATACGTTGCTTTGTGTTAAATAACCGGTTAATACATTTTGCGTACGTATACTCCGTAGTCCGTACCCAATGTGTTGAATCGTTGAGTTTCTGTTTCTTGTAGTTGTGTCTGAGTCCCTGGCTATGACTATGGGTTATAATAATAACAATGGGTTTTATTTTAATCTTTCATTTTATGAATGGTGTTTAATTTTACTTTTGTTTATCATTAACTCCAACACATAAATAACATATAGTTATAATGCATGTAATGCATTTTATACGAATAAAATAGGAGATTAAAAGAATATTCTTCGTTTCAAATTTCACACAATGGGAATATGGGATTCACTTCAAAGAGGTAGTTCTGTTTGCCAATAGTAGTTGGTACGCAAGACACACTGACACTATGTTAGTTTTAAATTTTAATATGTCTACACAAAAAAATATGGACAGAAAATGCAAACAGCACTGTAATTTGTGGATAAACAAATCAACAGTCTCTTCCAAATATGAGTAGACAATACCAAACAAATACTCAAAATTGGAACATTCTTCGACAATTCCGTATAGATTTAAGAAGATGGGTATGAATGTTTTGGTCTTGATAATAAAAATATATTTTGTAGATGCAAAATCCTAAACTTCCACAAGCAATCATTTTTTTGTTTCTGATAGTTCATATCAAACTAAAAATGATCTAAATACATGAGTGTTTATAATTTTAATAGAACTCCTTATAAATAGTAAAACCATATTAAACGATATGAAGGCCACAAACCCATCTATAAACCGTTTTTTTTTAGAATCCCCCAAATAATTCTTGCACCAATAACCAATATTTAGCCTTAAATAAACACGAAGTGCTTGATTGGTTCTCCCACTAGCACCTACATAGCGGTTGTTAGCGGTCAGTTGCGGTTACAAGCGGTTGGTACCAATCATAGAAACCGCTTCATACTGCTTCGAATCGCTCGAAATCGCTGGATTTCAAAAGCTCCTTTCCGCTAGCGTTTGCGGTTGGTTTCAAAAAAAAACTAAAAAAAATGAACAAATTAAAATATATATTATCAAGTCTTATATATATTCACGTTAATTCTAAAAAAAAATTATCTAACTTTAATTTTATAATGTTAATAATTATTTTTGTTTTCAATAAAAAATTTATTTGAAAAATTATTTATAGCTTTTAATCATTAATCATGTTTAAAAATTTTATACTTTCTCATAATTATAGTTTTTGGTATTTTTATACTTTTTTATAATCATATATTAAATTTATTTTGGTAAATTTTGGTTTAATCGCTATCGTACCCGCTGATCAACCAGTCGTAAATCTCCCGCAAAAGCACCCGTTTTCAACCGCTAAACCAGTCGGTCAAAACGCTAAATAACGCATGAAACCGTAACCACCCGCTTCCGCAAACTCCCACAATTGCAACCGAAACCGCTGCGTTTAAACTAGTCAAGCCCTAAATCTTTATATTGAAACTCTACTTATTATAGAAAAAATGTACCAGAAGAGAAAATAGGTAGCTTGGCCTTTACTAGGGCTTTATTTTCTGTTTTCAAGGTGAGATAGATTTGCTCAATATTTATCAAGAATGAACAAAAAGAGAAAAAAGTAGATTAAGATTTTAATATGGTTGTTGAACCATTAAGAAAAGGGAACCCTATTATTATTCAAGAGAATGGTAGTTTTCTGTCGATTTGTTAATCTATAAACTATTGCTTTAATTTTACAACAGGATATAACATTCAAATTTATTACCGCTTGTGGATGTAAAATTTTCAATGGTTTTGTTACTTTTGTAGAATGATGCAAATTGGGTTGTTCACTGAGGTGGTCTTTCGTGTTGGAGATGAATTTGGCGTTGAGCTAATTAGTACCGTCTGGTGGAACAATATCTGTGTAAGATGTTCAGTGAATGTAATAATAATGATATAATATAATAAACTAAAGTATTCGTCAACATAACTAATGGAACCTTTTATATTGAATGGAAATAAAAAGTCCATTAAGAGATGAAGAATTTTTTATCAAAAAAATTAAAAGATGAACAAATATTCAAAAGGAAAATATCATTAATTTCACTGTTCTAAAGAAGAACGCTAACGTATGTGATAGTTTCATTCTTTCATCTATCTTCTTATAGTCCCATTCGGTTATATCTCATTTATCTTCATTCAGTTGATTTTTATTTATCAATTTATCTTTACTATTATAAGGCTCTAGCAGACAAAAATGATATAGTTTCTAAACCCAAAAGTGAAGAAGACTAAATTTAAAATATCGAAATATGGAAACGTTGTTATTAGTGGTCATGGATGACTAACTTTAACTTAGGAATAAGAATTAATTAATGTATTTGGTGTGAAAGTGTTATTTACATTTTTAACCTTAAAACATTATAAACAATATTGACGAAATTTACACTTTAATTTCAGCTATAGATAAAGTGTTTTCTTTATCTTTAAATGGGTGACTGGTTGGAATGTTGTGCAGATTTTAGTGGCTTAAAAGTAGAGTTGTACGCAAATATGATGTAGCTATTTAAAGCATGCAGAGTTCAATTGGTAAATATTAGTTGTTTATTGTAGATTATTTATCACGTTACTTCTATAATAGTTTATAACTTAGAGATAGCTATTTTATTACCAATTTCTTTTGGAATCAAACCTCGTAAATATATGAATGATCAAAAAACTCACACAATGGTATTACAAATTTTCAAAGAAATTATTATAAACAAAATAAATAGACTTCTTTTGCAATAAAGTATACTCAATTTTCCTGCCTAAGATATATATATATATGTACATTGTATATTTTATTGTGAATCTCGTTTCTGTCGATAGTGTCGAATCATGTGCAAGCAAGATAAGCGTGGAGTGGAGACAAAACAATATTATAGTTGTAAATTTTATTCAGTTTATCGTTAATTATATAAAAAAAACTTTATTTAGTTTATCATTTGAGGAGAGAGTGTACCAAACTAATATTGAAGGGGTTTATCATTTGAAGAGAGTGTACTATTTTATTTACTTAAAAGTAATTAAATAAAGTCGACGTTCCAACGACAACTCTGGACAGCTCACACATTATGTGATTGGTAGTTAGGTTTTTGTTTAAATTTTTGTTTGCAGAAAATTTGGTTTCAAAATTATGGTTGTGACTAATATAAGTTACATATCTACGGCTTTTAAAATCATGATTCATGCATCCAGTCACCCCAATGGATCTTACTGGGGATCAACATTTGAATGTAACCAGCCCCAAATACGAACCAGATGAAGTAAACAGAAATCAAACTAAAAAAAAAAATCATTTATCTAGCATTTTTTATGCCCATCCGTTGCTATTTTATACAATAGGTGCTGATAGCAAACGAAATACGTCTTCCGTTGGTACAAAAATTAGTGGACAATAAAAATTTGGTCACCTAATAGAAAAGTGTTTAGAGAGTGAGGGCTCAAAGTCATCAGTTCAACTTTATTTGGGAGAAGTAATTTACGTCTAAACGTGGTATTATCAATGTCTGGCTCCAATAAACAACGGAATAAGCCAAAAGTGACAATTCATTTTATGTTATAGTTGAGGTACATATTAATTTCAGAGATATATATCATCAATCAAGTGGATGTTTTTAGACTAATTTATTTCCAATTACATGTAATCGTTTAATAACTACGATCAACATGATCCTTTCCATCATACTCGATGAGCTGCCGTGAGATATCTAAATTATGCATGTTTTCATGGGTTTCTTATAACTTGCAGTTTTGTGCGTAATTAAATAAAAGCGAACCTTATGAGCATAATTAAATAAAGAAATCTATGAAACTTAACAAAACTTAATAAGCTATTTATGGAAAAAGGTTGAAAACTCTTGAAAAATGAAAAGTGAAAACCCTAAAACTAACCATATAATTAAAATACGATAAGCATTAAAATACATAATTAAAATAATTACAAATAATGCGTGTTTATCCTAAATGTACGTTCATCACCTCATCATCAACATTCAACACCACTTCTTCTTCTCCGATTCTCTTACAGAGAACCATTATGGCATCAGTTTTGGCGAAAACGAAGAGGAAGAAGATTATATTTCCCACAAAGAATGAATTGTCGGAGGCTATGGCCGAGTACACGGCCAATCTCTCCGCCAAGTTCTGCAAGGTGAGAGGTTACTTCACCGTAGTTCTTTCCGGTGGCGACCTCATCTCTTGGCTCAGGTATACTATATAAGAAAATCTTTCAACCTTATTCTTCTTTTCTTGATCAACAATCTTTGAATCTTGTTCATTTATTTAGTCTGATTTTGTAAAAAGATTAAAATTTAATTACCTTTTGCAGTGAATTGGTGGAACCAATGTATCAAGAAAGCATCGAATGGTCAAAGTGGCACATTTTTTGGGTGGACGAGAGAGTTGTTCCATTGGACCATAAGGACAGCAATTACAAACTCGCTTTTGATGGTTTTCTCTCCAAGGTATTTTCCTTCTCACCTCATAACAACTTATCAAACAAATATTTATGTTGTAAATATATATAGTTTTAAAATCAAGAAAAAAAATAGAAATAGAAATTCTCGGCAAATAAACTTTGTAAAGTTAATGAGTTTGAACACAAAATCATTTGACATTAGTTAAAATGATGATCTCATTTATACTTGTATAGGTCTCTTCTCAATTTCAATATGAAATTGTTAGTAAAGTATCTTGTTAGATGATTTTGATATACATATAAGTCACTCTATGTAGGTTCCGATTCCAGTTGCGAACATACATGCAATCGACAAAGACTGTGCAGCCCTTGGTGATGCCAAAGGTGCCGCATTACTCTACGAAGAATGCCTCAAAAGACTGGTGAACCGAGACATCATCCGCACATACAAAGCCTCGGGCTTCCCTCAATTCGATCTCCAACTCCTAGGGATGGGTCCAGATGGTCATATGGCATCTTTGTTCCCGGGACATTATCAGATCAAGGAGAAGGCAGATTTGGTAACTTATATCACTGATTCCCCAAAACCGCCACCAAAGAGAATCACCTTCACATTACCGGTCATTAACTGTGCTTCCTATAACCTCATGGCCGTATGTGATGAGGCTCAAGCTGATGCGGTAGCTAAGGTTTTCAGCGATAACTTCGACTTGCCTGCTGCTTGGCTCACAGCTGACAAAGAAGCCATCTGGTTTCTTGACCAAGCCGCTGCATCAAAGATCCCGAAAGGACATTGATGTCGTGTTTAGTTGGGTTCTCTTCTATTTGTATCTTATGTTACTGGTTTCTATTTGATGGTTTTCAATAAAAGCTGTGTGTTTGGAATGTAAGATCTAGTTGGTTCGGTTTATTCTTGCATATCACTTACTACATTTAGCCTTTGTACTTGTGGTGTGTGTGTTCTCTTGTACTTTTATAAAAATCACATAATTAATTTACAAATTTACAAACTCAGTTAAAATTGTACGCCTTATGGTTAGAGTCTTTTAGAACAGTTGGACAGTCCAATTCATCATAGTCAGACTAATATATCCACTCCAACAATCTTTTCTTTCAGAAGCATAGATAACGGTTCGGTTCGGATATTACCTGAGAACCGATTGGATATATATATATATATTTTTTTTACATCTTTGGAATGACAAGGCCCGATCCATAGCCAATCCCTACTACGCGGGGTGACGCGACTTAGTGGAGTCGAACTCCGGTGGAAAGGCGGAGCCAAATGAACTTAACCACTTGACTAAAGACACATCCCCAACCGATTAGATAATTGAACTATCCAAATTCTTAATTTTTTCGATTAGCTTCAGTTAGTTCAAATATTTCGGATAATTTATAATCTAACCAAAGGATATTCGAACCAAAGTATCCTAAACCTCCTATCTAAATTACCTGAAACCTGAAAAATCCGAACCAAAACCAAGCCGAAAATACGAATGCCCAATTCTACAATTAGTTAATAAGCTAAGCCTGGACAAAAAAACCGGAACCGAGTATCCGAACCGGAACCGGCCCAAAAAATTAGACTCAAATCCGAACCCGAAAATTTAGATTTATCCTATTGGGTCCTAAATTCATCTATCCGAAAATCCGAATCCGAATTCGAAAATACCCGAATATTTTATTTGAAAACCCAAAATTTTATCCGAAAACCCGGATATTTATATTAGTGAAACAGAACGAACAGAATCGATGGTCTTGCAGAGAGGTGATGGAGAGAAACGAGGAAGAAGATGATGATGATTAAAATGATTCTGTCATTATTCTTCAATGATAGGTACAAACGTTATATACAGTTTAAGGAAGGTATCCGGTACAAACTGGTTATATACAAAGCCTATGTAAACCATACTAAACCATTTATACATCTAATATTCCCCCTCAAGATGGAGTGTATATGTTAATAACACCCATCTTGCGGATTAAGTACAAGAACTGTGTAGGATATAATGGTTTAGTTAATGCATCAGCCAACTGGTGTTCAGTCCCAACATGTAATGTCTTGACAATGCCTTCTTGAACCTTCTCTCGAACAAGATGACAAGCAAGATCCAAATGCTTAGTTCTCTCATGAAAGACTGAATTGTTAGCAATATGTATTGCTGCTGTGTTGTCACAGTAAAGTACTGATGCTTCTGATGTATCAAGCCATAAATCAACCATAAGTTTTCTTAACCAAAGTATCTCTTTCACACCATTAGACATTGCCCTGTACTCTGCCTCCGCAGATGACATAGAAACCGTTTCTTGTTTGTTGGATTTCCATGACACCAAAGAAGGACCAATGAACATGCAAAAACCATTTACACATTGCCTTGAATCAGTACAAGTCCCCCAATCCGCATCTGTATACCCTTTTAGCCGCAGGTCAGAGGTAGCAGAATAGAACATACCTTGACCAATGGTTCCTTTGAGGTAATGTAAGACCTTGAAAACGGCTTTCATATGAGGTTGTCGTGGCACTGAGGTGAACTGACAAAGTTTGTGAACCGCGAATGTGATATCAGGACGAGTGAAGGTGAGATACATAAGCTTCCCAACAAGTCTTCTGTATCGTTCCACATCCTCTATGAAATCTCCTGTTTCCATGTTCAGTTTATGACTAGGATCCATAGGAATAGAGGAAGGTTTACACCCAAGAAGACCTGTTTCATCCAAGAGATCCAATACATATTTGCGTTGGCATATGGAGATCCCAGCATCTGTCCTTGCAACTTCAAGTCCCAAAAAATACTTTAAAGGACCTAACTCTCTTAGCTTAAAGGATTCCTTTAAAGAAGCTGTAAGAGATGATGTGGCTGTAGAACAAGTACTAGCAATGATTATATCATCAACATATACGAGTACTGCCATGTAAACATTCTCAGACTTCCTTGTGAATAAGTTGTCATCACCATAACTTGACTTGAAACCCAAGGACAACAGAGACTGAGAAAATTTTAAAAACCATTGCCTTGACGCCTGTTTGAGACCATAGATGGATTTGTGGAGTTTACAGACAGTATTTTCTGGAAAAGATTCCCCCTGTTTGGGAAGGTAACCAGGAGGTAAGACCATGTAAATTTCTTCTTGTAAGTCCCCATTGAGGAAGGCGCTTGAAACATCCAGTTGTTCCAAAAACCACTTTCTTGGTGCAGCAACAGAGAGCAAAAACTTAACAGTGGCCATGCGAGCAACAGGTGAGAAAGTCTCCACATAATCTAGACCCTCTTTCTGAGTATAGCCTTTAGCCACCAAACGCGCTTTATACCTCTCTAAGCTGCCATCTGCTTTTAACTTCACTGTATAAATCCACTTACATCCAACCGGCTTCTTACCTTGAGGAAGTGAACACACAGACCATGTATGTATACGCTCAAAGGCTCCAATTTCTTCATCCATAGCATCACAAAACTCTTTCACCTTGCAAGCTTATTTGTAACTGTTGGGAGTAGGATACTTGGTGAGAGTAGTAATGTATGCATGAAACTGATCAGAGAGATTAGAGTAAGAGAGAAATTGAGACATGGGATGAGCAGTGGATTGCTGAACAGAGTAGCATTGATAATCTTGAAGATAACCAGGAGGTCTTGATACACGCTGAGATCTAGTAGTGGAAGTAGGCACTACTGGAACAGGTAAAGATTCCCCTTATCTTGTAAAACCTTGAGGTTCCCCCTGTCTTGTAACAATCGGAGGTTCCCCCTCACTGACAACTCCAGAAGATTCCCCTGTATCAGCAACACAAGTATGATGATGAGGAAAGAACTCTGTAGCTGCAGTATTTTCTTGAGAAGTCTGAAAGGGAAACACATCCTCAAAGAACTTCACATTCCTTGAAATGAAAACAATATTGCTTTCAATATCCATTAACTTGTATCCTTTATACCCGGCTGGATAACCCAAAAAAACACATGCTCTGGCTCTGTTATCAAACTTGGTGCGTTGTTTAGGAGATGTGCTTGCATAACACAAGCACCCAAACGTTCTCAGATCAGTATACTCTGGTACTGTTTTCAGAAGCTTCTCATATGGAGTTTTGTTGTCTAGTAGTGGTGAAGGTGTTCTGTTGATTAAGAAGACCGCAGTGAGGATGCAATCTCCCCACAGAGACAGAGGCAAATTGGATTGGAAGAGAAGAGCTCTAGCAACGTTTAGTATGTGCTGGTGCTTTCTCTCCACCACCGAGTTTTGCTCCGGTGTCTCGGGACACGAATGATAAGCAACAATCCCCAGTCTGCGATACAGGTCTCCAAATTTCAATTCTGGAGCATTATCAGACCGTACACATCTAACCCTCTTATCAAACTGAGTCTCCACCATTTGTAAAAAATCTGGGAACACTTGCAGAACATCACTCTTCAATTTAAGCAGATATACCCAAGTTACTCTGGTGTGATCATCCACTATTGTTAAGAAATAACGAAAACCCTCAACAGTTGGTTCTGAAAACGGTCCCCAAATATCAATGTGCAATAAGTCAAAAGGAGCAGAGCAGAAATTATTTCTATTTGAATAGGGTAGTTTCTTCTGTTTTGCTCTCTGACAAATATCACAATGTAAAACTCCTTTATTCCTTTGTTTAGAGATTCCAAGAACATCAGTAAGAACATCAATCCGAGAAAAGGAAGTATGACCAAGTCGCTTATGCCAAACAGCAGAGTCTATTACAGAATTCAAACTACAAGAAGATAACTGTCTTGAATCTGCAGGGTCTTCAACATCCAAAAGATAAAGATTAGCAATCCTCCTACCTCTTCCAATCTTTAATTCCCTGGTAGGATCCTGTATCAGACAAGATTCAGGATCAAATACTACACGGGAACCAAGGTCTGTAGTCAATGAACTTATACTGAGCATATTCATCCTGAATTCCGGTATATATAAAACATTCTTCAAACTGATTGTACTATTTATCACAACTGTACCAACACCTGCTACCATAACAAAATTGCCATTGGGAAGATTCACTGCTTGGTGAACAGAAACATCAAGATCAAGGAACAAACTCTGATCATGACTTACATGATGAGTAGTACCGGAATCAATAATCCAAGATCTCTTATTTGTGACACATTGAGCAACAGTTAAAATCCCAATAAAAGAGTAGGTAGAGGTAGAGAATGATATACCAGAAGTAGAAGCTTCATTGGTGGGTGGAGATGGTGTTGTCTGAGAAGGCTGAGAAGAAGATTGAGGTACCAAGTGAGAGCTGAAAAATGCAATGAAACTTTGCAGCTGTTCCTTAGACAAATTCCCAATCAGATTCTCAAAACCAGGAGACTGTTTATCACCCACACTCACTGGAGCAGAAACATGTGCTGCAACAGGTGTAGTAGACACTGGAGGAATTTGAGTAGTAGGAAGAGTGTGCTTGCGAGGTTTCCATCCGGGTGGATAGCCATGTAACTTGTAGCAACGATCTACAACATGACCAGTGAATCCACAATGAGAACAAGTAGGTTTATCCTTTCTGTAAGACTGGTAAGCAGCATTGATAGAACCAGCACTGTTGGAAGAAACAGCAGCATTCACCACTCCAGGATGATGTCCAACATTTCCAACCTGAAAAGCAGCTGGCACAACACTGTTACCAAATTTTCTTTGACTATCATCTTGATCCAAGATGTTATAAACTTCAGCAATATCAGGTAAAGGCTTTTTCATAATGATTTGACCCCGGATAATAGAGTATGACTCATTCAAACCAGCCAAAAATTTTATGAGACGACTCCTATTAACCTTAGCCTGAAAGTTGCTTTTACTTGCACAGTTAAGAGAATGACAACAGAGACATGACTCACGAGGTTCACTACCATCGATTTGATCCCATAAAGTTTTCAAAGCTGTGTAATAGCTTGATAGATC